GAAAAATATATATAACAAATGGTACAAATTTGTAGTGTAATAAATATACATGACAAATGTGGGATGAAAGCGGGAGCGGAAAGAAGAAAAAATTCCAACGTTTCTTATTCTCATTATGCGTTCGCAAACAAAAACAAAAGAAATGCAAAGCTCTTAGAGCCGAAGCTGAAGACTTATGCCTTGATTGTTTGCGGCTTATGTACGTGGCATTACCCTTTAATGCAGATTAATAAGCGGCTACGCACACACACACTCACTCACACACACACACACACCACATGCACTGTTCGTAAACACAAGGCGTATGTACATAAATAATTGTTGAACTTTCATTATTTTCATGTTGGCGAGGGTTCGCTTTCGGTATGTGAACTTTATGATAACGTTGCGATCGCATATCTCTTAGTTGTTTATTTACCTTTGTCCTATACCGCGTAACGAAAATATTTTAAAGTAATCATAAAAGGAAAAAACGAAATGAAATGACTAAATTGCTGGACATATACATATGTAAGCATAGTTTGCTGCCTACAGGGTAGCTGTAAGTCGACTACATGCGACTAGCCTCTTGCTGCTGGTTTCTTTTCTGTTTAACGAAGATACATAAAAATATATAGAAGAGTGAGCACTTACATTTATACATTAATACATGTGTACATACATATATCTTTGTCTGTACGTATGTGTGTTTGTTTACATACTTGTAGAAAGATAGCAATAGAGACGCCAGCGTTGACGTGTTGAGTGGCGCAATTTGTATTTCTTGTGCCCGCAGAGGCTGCATGCTCCAAATTTCAAGTGCTGCACAATTTGCAATTGTTTGGCCAAACAATTTGCAAAAAAAAAAAAATAACAACAGCAACAACAACAACAATAATAACAACACAGGCATGAAATAGCATAGCACACAACACTGAAGCAAGAAGCGCGGCATTCTGAAGACAGCAAGTAACGGGATTAGTGAATGAGCGAGATAGAGAGAGAGCAGCGGGCCATTGGTGGTGAGTTTACAAAGTTGATGGCACCACCGACGCGTCGCATCGCGTTGTCCGTTCAAAAAGTACTCCACTTACAAACGCACCTTTTTGCAGCGCTGGCACATCCCCATGCTGTTCGCCTAGAAAACGCGTAGAATGCCAGACCCAAAAAAAAAAAAAAAAAAAAAAAAAAAATAAATAAAAATTGTAACAGCAATAGCCCAGCATAAAATGAGAAGGCTCTACTGGAAGCTACCCTGGACACAACTCTTAACAAATATGATTTTATTAAAAATATATATGTATGTACATATATTGATAGCATGTTTGGGGTTATATTCTTCTTCTTCTTCTTCACCTTCTCTTTCTTTGTGTGCATCAGCCTCCGCTGTTGAGAAATTTGAATGCCATCAGATGCAAGCTAATGCTCTCTGTCATATGCATAGCCATACGACATACCCATTTAACTTTGAAATTTCAAAGGATATTTTAAGTGAAAACAACAACAACAGCAACAGCAAAGCCTGCACAAACAAAATCCGCTACACTCGCCACACAGTCGCCGCAGGGGCGAGAGAAGTGACGACGACTTTGTCGTTGTCGACGCTTGGCAGCTTTGACATTTGCATAGAAATACATGTGTATAATGTGCATGTGTTTGTGTCTGTGCTGAGTTTGTGTGTGTGTGTGCATAGAGAGAGAGTTTACCAATAGATGGTAAAGTAAAGGCAAAAGCATGACGACGGTCGAGTCGAGAGGAGGACAAAAAACCGAGCATCAGCATCCCCGCCGGTAAAAAAAAAAAGAAAAGAAATCCTTCGAAGTTCTAGCAAAAGTTGGGGTTGTCAGACTGTTGGCGTGCGTAACTCTCACTGTGTGTGTGTGTGCGTGTTTGTATAGAAACATCGTCATCATTGTCGTCCCCAAAAATAACTAACCCCCAAATCGCGTGGCCGTTGTCAGTCGCCGCACTTCGAATACTCCGTTTTTTTTGCCATACGTTTGAAGCGACCCTCGTTCATACGAAAGCGCAGAGTAAAGTAGAGCATAACCAGCCAAACCGCCCGACCGTCCACCCGCCCGCTCGTTCAATCAATTGGCAGCTGCCGCGTCAGCCATTATCTATTTTTAGCACTTTTTGGCGTATGTTATATGCTTTATTTTATGTACAGCAATACATATGTATGTATGTATGTATGTACTTACATACATACATCTATTCCTTCTTCGGTTTAATTACCACCTTCTCTTGTTAATTTCAAAGTGTCGCTGTTTAGATCAACGTTAATTCTTTTAACAATTTCCACACTTCTTTGTGGGTCAACTGGATTGCATTTCAACTACAATTTCTCTCGCTGATACACACATACACTTGTAAGTATGTAGGTTTGTCTGTGTTGCAAAAGTATTTCGTATAGAGTTCCCCAAAATTCTCACAAACTGCTCACAACACAAAATTTGAGTTTGAAACGAACAGTTTGAAGGTCACCGTTGCAGTTGCAGTTGCAAGTGACAATTTATGTATTCTCTTCTCCCAGTAGCCCATTATAATTTTATGCTCAAATCTGGAATTCGTGGAAATCGTTTTACACATTTTCTTGTTATGCAAAAATTCAATTCATGGAAATTATTTTAAGCTTCATTTTAGTTCAGCTTCATGCATAACTATTAAGCGTCTCTAGCATTCTTTTCAATTGTAAATCTAATGCATTTTAATGCATCCCTGGCATAGGGCGTGATTTGCATACATATGTAAATAATAGTATGCTAAACATGCGGCTGCCCTAATACGAGTTGTTGCTCCACTCAACTCGGCATGGACTCGATTTCGGTTTTCATCTCTCACTTGTTTATTATGCATTGTCTGCCATTTTGGCAGAACTACAAACTAAACAGTACATAAATGCTGCCAGAACCGTTGTACATACATACATACAAATGTATGTTTGTATAAAGTAAATGAGTTCATGAGTGCCTTTTTTGCTAAAGTAGATATTTAAAAAATTTAAGAACGCATGTAAACATAAAAATATAAGATAAATATATTTTCCCTAGATAATATACATACATACATAGATAAACAACTTTTTGTTCAAATAAATTTGTAAAATAGTTAATTAATTTTATTTGATCTTTTCGAAAAGAATCCCAGCGGGAATATTTCATTGTGCCTGTATAAGACTTCAATATAAGATCTCCTCACATCGTATACCAAGGAAGCTTCAATATAAGATCTTTCCTATATATACCGATCTATTCAAAGGAAGCTTTCACTGTACTTACATACAATACATACGCATATTGTATATGCACTCACACACATATCCACATAAGAGTGTATAAGAATTCAATATAAGAGTTAATTCATACCGCAATTCGTTGCCAGCGCCCCGCTGGCTGCCGCCGCTGCGGTACAGCGTGTCAATGTTGTGGTTACGCGGCTTCTTCTTCTTGTTCTGCTTCGTCTTCTTGTTGTATGTGATTGACAAAAACGACACGGTTTCCGTTGCTTGATATTCGTCTTTCACTTTTGTCTTTTTTTTTGTGCTTTACTGTTTGTTTTTGTATCTTCACTAATTTTATTTGGCTAATTGCTTAGCTACTCTGGTAGCACTCCACTGCACAAGAAACAAAAATAATATTAAAAAAAATGTAAATGTAACGGTTGTTGTTGTTGTTGTTGCTGCTGCGGCATGTATTTATTATTTATTCGTGTTACAGTTTAACAACAAACAGACACACACACACATACATAAATAGATAAAGAGCGTAGTGTTGGTAAGATTTCACTTTTGCGCTGCCGCTGCTTCAGCTGCTGCTGCTGCTGCTGCCGCTATGGACTGCACGCACGAAATGAACTTTCACGCCGACCGCAAAGCTGCCAGCCAACTGACGGCCTTGTCCTGCTACATGCCGGTGCTGGCGTCGCGTCGTCGTCAACGTCTGCGTTAGCGTCAGCGTCGATGACCGGTAAAGCAGCCTCCCTCCACTTGCATTCTCTTGCGTTCCACGCGCTGATGCGGCTGCGGCTGTGGCTGCTGTTGGTGTTGGTGTTTCCGCTGATGTTGTCGTTGCTTTTGACATTTTTGTTTTTGGTCGATCGATAAATTTCAATCGCGCTCTACTAACACCGTTACAAAAAATAAAGAAACCAAAAAACTAAAACAAAAACAATTGGCACTTGCACTTTTGTTTTCGCTGCTGCTTCGCATACTGAACGCTTTCTATCTTGCTCTCGCACATAGGTATCTAGGTACATATAACGGTAGAGTGCTGCATATGCATTAATTACCATTCATTTAGCAGCCACTGCACTTTTTCTTCTTTTTTTTATTTTTTGAGGGCAACCTGAAAGCGGAGGCAGACAGAGGCCGCGAGTATTTGACTTTCAATTATTGTTGACAGCCGCTTGTTACGCTATTTCCAATTTAATTTGATTATTTTGGTATCTATGTATCTATGTACGTATGTATGTACACACATACATACATATAGAGAGATGCCGCCGCCGCCGACGCCACAGCCACCACCACCATGACCAAGAAATGCCACCACCAACAACCGCAGAAGCTGAAACAGAAGCCGAAGCAGAGGCAGCCACAACAACAGCAGCAGCAGAAGTAGCAGCCGCAGCAGCATCAGAGAGCAACAATACATCGTTAGTACATCAAGCGGTTTAAGCATCTGCAGAATTTAGTGTAAACAAGAATTTTAATTGCTTGATACTGACTGTATTTTCCTTTCGTTCGTTCTCTTTTCTATCTATTTGCTTTCGATTGCCGCAGCGGCCCAATTTGCACTTGTTTTCATTCTTGTACTTCTTGTTCTTGTTGCTTTTTATGGATTTGCACACACGTTTGTTTATAGGCGAATGATGATGTTGTTGTTGTTGTTGGTGCTCATGCTGCTGGCCAAAAGCCGTGCGCTCCTAAAGCTCTGCATGGTTTTATTTCTATATGTAAATTAATTAGCTGATGCTGCTCTTACGATTTTCACGATTGTGAACAATGCATATATTTTTAAGAACACTCCATAAAAAAAAACAGCAAAAAAATAAAAAATAAATCTCGTTCGCGCACGCAGCGGCGCTATCAATGGTATAACTGTAAACAAAAAGAGCGGCGTACCTCAGCGTCCGCGCGCGACGCCAGCTTTTTGCAACTGAAACTTAGTTCGAATTTGCGAATAAGCACTTTCCAATTAGATATACTACGAAAGCGAAAAACCATAAGCTCATCCATCACTGGAGCTTTTGATTCTAATGAACAATTCACGGCGTTGCCACTCTTACAATATGCGACCATATTTGAATTAGTAAATATGTTCACTAAATAATTAGAATTATTAGTGTATACGTTTTTATTATTATTTGCTAGTAATATTTCTAGCTAGAAACAACATAGGTTCCCGCTGCAGCAATAGATATTGAAAGCTTTTAAAGATTATTTTTGTCCATTGATTTTTTTGAAGCTTTCCTTAGTCATTTGTGTTTCTGTGCAACTATCAATGATAGTCATTTTGTTCGTAATTTTCTTAACATAAGGAAGAATTCAAATTGTATATTTTTATAAATATTTACAAATCTAATCATCGCATAATCGTTGATCGCTACAATATCGATTACTGATTAATAGCAGCACTGAAATGAATATCGCCGTATCGATATTTCGATGATTTTAGTTTAATTGTCCATCAGCAGTGAAAATTAAGACTCGAGTCGGCTTTTTCAGAATGTGGAAATTTCTATTAGTGGCAATTTTAGCAATAAATCATTGCAATGCTGTGTTGGAAAGCGATGCTAATACGCTGGTACTGCTAGACAATTTGGCCATACGCGAAACACATTCCATTTTCTTTAAATCACTGCAAGGTAACCGGCATAAGAACACACATACACACTCACGCATGTATACACGAGCTATGACGTGTACAATATTTATTTGTCTTTTTCTTCTCAGATCGTGGCTTTAAGCTGACCTATAAGCTAGCTGATGACTCTGGCTTACTCTTATCGCGCTACGGCGAATACCTATACAAGAATCTGATAATCTTTGCGCCCAGTGTAGAGGAATTTGGCGGCGATATCAGCGTCGAGCGACTCGCCCAGTTTGTGGACGACGGCGGCAACGTTTTGGTTGCGGGCAGCGAGAAGTCTGGCGATGCCCTGCGTGAGTTTGCCTCCGAGTGCGGATTCGAGCTGGACGAGGAGAAGGCGGCGGTCATCGATCATTTGCACTACGATGTGAGCGATACGGGCGACCACACCACGATCCTGACCTCGGCACTCAATCTGATCGATGCGGCCAGTGTGGTGGGCAACGAGAATCGCAAGGCAGATGCTGCTCCGCTACTTTATCGCGGCACTGGACTCATTGCCGACAAGGAGAATCCGCTGGTGCTAAAGCTCTTAACGGCCGAGAGCAGCGCCTACAGCTACAATCCTGAGCAGAGCGTTTCCGACTATCCTCATGCTGTGGGCCGTAACACTCTGCTAATTGCTGCCCTGCAGGCACGCAACAATGCACGCGTCGTCTTCTCCGGCTCGTTGCAGTTCTTCGCCGACGAATCCTTCACCATGGCCGTGCAGTATGCACAGAACGGCGCCTTCTTCAAGCAGGCGGGCAACCGTCCCGTCGCCGAGTCAATTAGCAAGTGGGTGTTCGGGGAAAGCGGCCGGCTGCGCGTCGCCTCCGTGCGCCACCATAAGGTGGGCGAGAAAAATCCCCCAGAGCAAGCGTACACGATCACCGATCCCGTTGTCTACACGATTGCCATCGAGGAGCTGGTCCAGGGCAAGTGGCAGCCATTCAAAGCCAACGATATTCAGCTAGAATTCGTACGCATCGATCCGTTTGTGCGCACCTTCCTCAAACAAACGAAGAGTGGCAGCTATGAGGCCCGCTTCAAAATACCGGACGTCTATGGTGTCTATCAGTTTAAGGTAGACTACAATCGGGTGGGCTACACTCACCTGTACAACACCACCCAGGTGTCGGTGCGTCCATTGGAGCATACACAATATGAGCGATTCATACCGAGCGCATTCCCCTACTACACTAGCGCCTTCTCCATGATGATCGGCGTTTTTGTGTTCTCGTTCGTCTTCCTGCACTTCAAGGAGGAGACCAGAACTGGCAAGGATGACAAAAAAACCCAATAGATCTTAGTATTTATATGAACAATTTTTTCGCGTATGCATCTAATATCAAATGAATGTGCATATATTTCAATAAACGCATTTGTAACAAATTCAAATTTGTTTTATAACAGATAATAGTGAATATACAAATTAAAAAACTAACATTTGTATTTTAAATTTTCCGCATAGTGATGAAAGCAACGAAGCTTAAACATTTATAAAATCCCATCTCTAGGGCTGCCACCTGCTGCTATCTGGCCACATTGCCAACAGCTGCTTTTCGATACTGCTCGATATGCGATACCGATTGCTGGCACAGTCAGTGCATAAAAGTGCAAGATCGCAATGCAGTGACAAACATTTGCACAAATATGAGTGAACGCACTTCGTTGACCAGCTGCAGCCGTAAGAACAATAAGAGAAATGTCCAGTGCAACGCCAATACAAACATCGGCTGTGCCGCCCGTTTGGAGCTGTGACACGCACAGGCGCAGTCATAATCAACAGCGCGAGCTTAAACAACAACAACTGCAACTTTTCACACTCCAGACGGAACTGCGTCGCGCCACCAATCATTGGTTTCAGGCCAAGACCGATGAACGCTTCCAGTTGCTGGTGCAGACATGCGTTCAAATCCTGCAGCACGGCTTGCTGCAGCCAACGGCTATTGGAACGCTGGTAAGTGCGACGCGGACGCAGACTGAACTCGTCTTCTGATAAGCGCAGCGTTCGCAACGCCCTAGGCTTAAAAGAGAAACGAGAAGAAGAAGTGGAATAAAAGGGAAAGTGGGAGTCGCAGCGAAAATACCCTAGTTAATTAGTAAAAGCACTAGCAAATGTTAAAGTCATAAGGAAATATTTAATAATTTAGAAACAAATTTATTTACTATTAGAAAAAGATTTGTCTTGTTTAAAAATAGAGTATATTATATTATATTTAAACAACAATCAGTTGCTATTACATAAGATAATATTCAGTTATTATTCAACAAATTGAGTTACATCAAATTTTATTATGTTTTTTAAATGATCAATGAAATCCGCAATTACGTTGTTTATTTTAGATATACATATGTATGAAACTATGTCAACACTTGGGCTTGAATGGGAAACCGAATACCAAGAACAGCCGCTGAACGTAAATACATGCTCAAATTAACAGAGTTTTGTTGATTAATAAATATTGTAAATAATTATGGAAAAACATGTTCATAGGCTTGGCTCAAGTTCGAGTTTTTAAAAAGGGTATTTTTAGGCTTGGTTCCGCAATGTTTAAGCTTAAAGTGAAGCACAAAGAAAACGTAACAAAAGAAATAGTATAGAGTGACTAACAAGCGTTTCCTAATCGGGAGTGCTCAACTAGACGATAACCGGGATTGGACAATTAATTGTTGAGTAACTTTTAATCGGAATGCATTTAATTGATGTCATTTTTAATGGGTTTTAGATGGCGACAATAAGAGCCAAATCTCTGCATTCATCAGAGTCAATTAGAAACCTCTAGCTCTTGTGCTATGCTATCGATAATGATCGATAATTAACAGATGGAGTGAGTTATCGTTCAAATGTGATTTAACCAGAATTCTCATTTCCCAAGTATTCAGGATGCCAATGTTCCTTACGTATAATTTATATATACATATATATATATCTCCCATTTCTCAATCCACCCTCGTTGATCGATTTCCCTTGTTTCTCCATCGCAGCGACTAGTTGAAGACTTTGAGTTTCTGCGTCTCAGCGAGCATCCGCCAAGGCAGCAGCAGCAGCAACAGCAGCCGCCAAAGGCAACAACTTCAGCTAATTCCTCACCTGCCCCAGGATCCACAGGGAATGTGGCATTTAATGTCAGCGAGTTCCTATCCCATTGGGCCGCCAGCTGCCTGCGCTCGCGCTGCTTGTCGCGCTGCGTGCAGTCGCTGGTGGCGGACAAGGAGCTGCTGGACAGCTACTATCAGCGGGAGGTGGCCTTTCTGCGGCATGGCGGCTGTGCGGCGGCGCTGTTCGTCTGTCTGACGGCCGTTGAGCTGGACCAGAGCAGCTTGCTCAGCCAGCTGGAGCCGATTGTGGGCAGACGTCGCCATCGGCGCACCTGCTCGCAGCCCAATTTCAGGTTGTCGCATCAACTGCACGTGGTGCAGGAGGAGGAGCAGCAACAGCAGCATCAGCAACTGCAACTGCAACTGCAACAGCAGGAGCAGAAGCCGCTGCAACAGCAACAAGTCCTGCATCCAAATCCGGTAGCTACGCAGCTGATGCGACGCTTCAAGAGTTTACCCTGCCTCTATCACAGCGACAGCAGCTTGGATCGAGTGTCGCATGCAGAGAGTGGACTCTCGCCGGCTGCTCCTGCCGCACGTCCGCGTTGCCAGACCTACAACAACAGCCCGAATGTGGCACTGAGCGGCTGCAGCCTCAGCACGGCCAGCAGCAGCAGCAGCCAAGTGSCGTCGCCAGTGCCGCGTCGCATACAGCTGATCAACTGCGATGACATTAAGATCTGGACAGATCAGACGAGCAGCATCACTCCCACCACTGGCAACAGCCAATCCTCACCCGCTCCGGTGCCCGCCACGAAGCGGGGCAGCTTCCTGGGCAATCTGTTCGGATCGCCGCCGGTGTACACCAGCTGGTACAACAAGAGTCGCGGTGAGAGCGACGAGGCGGGCAGCGGGAGTGGCTTAAACGGCTTGACTGGCTTGAATGGCTTCCTGGCCATCAACGGACGCAAGCTGGACAAACGGCAGCAGCAGTCGCTCTTCGAGGGCGTCAGCATGCTGGACTACAACAATTGCCAGGCGGCGGCGAGCAGGACAGCGACGGAGCCCTTGGACATTGTGGGCGGTGTGGCGGGTCAGCAACAGCAACAGCAGCAGCAGCACAGCGCCAGCTGCAGCACCACCTCCTGCAGCCTGAGCAGCGAGAGCCAGTGCAGCAACAGCAACAAAATGGACAATCAGAGTCTGGCCGCCTTCCTGCAAATGTCGCGCAACGCGCGCAACAACACGGAGCTGGAGAAGGAGAACGCCCACTTTCGCATCTCGGAGGCGTGCATTGCGGCCATCGAGCACGTGAAGTGGAGTCGTCGTGGACAACCGCCGGAGTGTGCCGGCAGCAGCAGCAGCAGCAGTGGATTGGCCACAGAAGGGGATGCCCTGCTGCTGCCCCCCTATATGGAGCAGCAGACCACAAATGGCCATGGGCAGGAGGAGAGCATCAACAGACACAGCAACAGCAACAGCAACAATGACAACAATAGCGCCGAGGCAGTCGGTCTACAGCTAATCTCGCGCTTCAATGACAAGCAGCTGCCCAAGCTGGCGGACTTGAAGTGGCTCGTCTCCGAGCAGGATGCACCACAGCAGCTGCTGCCCCTGCCGAAGCTAACACCGGAACTGCTGGAACCACTGGCCGAGACGAGTCTGACGCGTGGCACCAAGACCTGGGCGCCGCCACGCCAACAAATCATCTTCACCGAGCATCCGCCGGCAAGTCGCTCCCAGCTGCTCAGCCGGCAGCATTACCGCTGCGCCGGCTGTGGCATGCAGGTGACACGGCAGTATCAGCAATATTTTCGCTACTGCAATTACCTGGGCAAGTACCTGTGCACCGGCTGCCATCGCAACCAGCTGTCAGCCATTCCGGCCAAGATACTGCAGTCGTGGGACTTTCGCTGCTATGCGGTCAGCTCGTTCGCCTATCGCCTCATCGAGCAGATGTACACGTTCCCGCTGTTCCATGTGCCCGACCTGAACGCCCAGCTGTATGTGAAGCAGAAGCAGTTGGCCAAGGCGCGACGGCGTCGCCTCCAGCTGAAATATGTCCATAACTTCATAAGCGCTTGTCGCTTCGCCACCAAGTAAGTGTGTCAAGGTCACGCATCCTTCCGTCTCTTTCTAATCGGTATTCGCACGTGCAGGGAGCAGGCGCTGTTCGATGCGGTGCCAGCGCACATCACCAGAGATCCGGACATGTGGTCCATGTGTGACTTTGTCGATGTGCAAAACAGCAGTCTGTGCCGCTCCATCGAGGATCTGATTGAGCTGAACGAGCAGCATGTCTACAGCTGTGTGGTAAACTGGAATTCGTGTCTCTCTTCTGCTTGTACAGCTGTTTAACTCTCACCCCCCTCTCTCTCCCTCTTGCTTGCAGCTCTGCACGGGTCGCGCCTTCGTCTGCGAGCTGTGCAAGAGCCGCGAGCTGATCTATCCCTGGCAACGGAAGGTGCATCGTTGCGGGCAGTGCGGCGCCTGCGTTCATACCAACTGCTGGAAGCTGAACTCGACTGGCGTCTGTTTGCGCTGTGACCGGCTGCATGGACGACAACAACAACAACAGCTGCAACAGCAGCAGGATTAGAACATGGCCAAATTTATTTTTTTTTATATGTATACTGTATATAATCGTGTAAATTATGGATTCTATTAGCAAATGTACCTCAAGTGAATGAATGAATGACCGTTTCATAAGTTGATTTTTATAAATTATACAAAATATTTATTTTATGATATTAACTATTGCATTTAATTTAAAAGCAAAAACCATTTCCATATTCTACAGCAGCTTTTATTAGCCAATTCGTATTTGATATGAATATTCCAATTGGAATATTCCATTCAAATAATTAAGTGAAGTTTGCTTTAAGTTTCTAATTTTCAAATTATGAATGTCATGGCAATATTTTAATATGTTTTATACATGTATATTTAATTTATTTAACGCTTCTGAAATGCACAGAGGATAATGTGAATTTATTTAATATGCATATTCCTACTGGCTTGCTGAGTTTATTTTTTAATTTCTTTTAAGCATTGTCTATTGGATTATCGCATAGTAAACTAGAAAGACTCAATTTATTTGAAATTGATCAACTATATGTAGTCTGTTTACAACATGTTTTATTTTTAAATTATGAATATCATGCAATGCATTTGAATATATATATTCAAATTATTAATCGGTTTTGAAAAGCACAGAGGATAATGCAAAATTATCGGCTTGTGGCAATCAACATAGAACTATCGCTGATGGTCGATATTCGATATGCTTGCAGCTGGCAGCTCATTTTGGCATAGCAGCGTCAAAATATTTTCCTTTT